TCCCGAGTGAGCCGATAAGAAGAATTGCAACCAGTTGGTATGTGCTGAAGCGTACGGTAAGGCCGAGTGGCAGATGCGGAGCGGCAAAAGCAGAGCGGCAAGACTTGGGAGGTCCTTCGCTGCTTGCATGTGCGAGATGTCACCGAACACAAAATTTAACGAAGCCATGGCGCCACTGAGCTGTCTCTTGCGAATGTACAAACAACTATTACACTCTTACTTTTATAAGCTTGCCTGTATTTTAGGCGAAGTGATTACTTATTACTCACCACATTTAAAATTTCATATGAACGTCTCTCGACAAATTCCGCAACGTGGGTAGGTGTCGTTTGGGAAGGAACACCGTCATCATCATTATTGATAACGCTCGCGAGTACGTGGCAGCACTAAAAGACAACGAAACGAAACCTCACGCGGCGCGCTAGCGCGAGGTCACGAGACTGGTCACAGAAGAAGACAGGGGTCCGGTGAACCGTGACCGCTGTTCCAGCTGCCATCGACTCAATTTCCTGGAAAGAGACTGAGCCGCTCACCATGGCCAAACTACCGAAGATGGCCCACCAGTGCATGTCTCTCATGTCAACCTTCGCTTCGGCCGTTCTCTTTGCTTCGGCGTTCGTTCTGGCTTTCCTCATACTCGAAGGTAAGCCTGCCTGTGCCCTTGCAGTGTTCGATTTTTGAGAGCTGTGCTGCTCCGTTGAGTCAACATGCCGCATCGTTCTAGCGGTTATGGTGCTCGTATGTTGACCCGAAGGTTGCGGGATCGTACCCCTAATGCTGCCATTTGATGGAAACGAAAATTCTTGAGGCCAATTCACATAGGTGCACCTAAATAACCCCAGGCCCTTGAAATTTCTGAAGACCTCCACTGTGGCTTCATTTATAAGTCAACCGCAATTTCGGGTTGCAAGACACCCATAATTATTACTATTCTTTATCGAGCTGGAAAAGAGATCAAATTAAATGAGGTCGATTAATGCCTGGTCTCAAGTTAATAAAGATGTAAATCCTAGTTCGTCATACAAGTTTTCAGCTAATAATGATGTCACAGACATCGTTAGCGAGAAGCGCCTGGTCAATGACAACAAGAAGTTATGAGTGTTTATTGTTACCGGCCAGCCATGTTCGCTAATGATATCGCGGGCGTCACGGCTGGTTGAAAGTTTCTTTTACAAAAAATGTAACGAGATACGCTTCTGTGAATAAGGGCCTCAAGTTCTCCTTATCTTCTTATGAGAACCAAGGTAGAGATAAATTGTGAAATGTTCATGGCACAGCTATATAGTTACGAAAGGCGACGAACAACGAACCGAAGTGGATAAAACAGGTGCTTGCTGTGCCCTCGGTAGTTCTTTCTTCGTCGTAGTTCGTTTCCCTGTAGTGCCATGAGAGTATAACAACAACGATGACTCTTTCGTGCTGCGAGGCTCACATAAAGTATGCTCGCGGCAGTGGTGGCTCAAACCACAATAGGGGCAGGATTTAATAGAACCTGCATGTCGAGGTCAAGGGCCGCGTTAAAGGATTAAGTTGGTTTAAATTCATAAAGAGTTCCAATTTGGGTGTAGGCTGGTCGCGTGGGCAGTGCGAAACAATGTAGAGTGTAGAAAGCGTCGAGGATGGGAGGGGCGGGAATTTCATGCATCCGACTCGGAAGGAAAAGCCTTCAAATCACCTTAGATTAAAGCATAAGGAACCATGGTTACTCCTCACATCAACTGACGGATTTCTAAGAAGCTTTATACAGCAACCATCTCGAATACGATCGAAACATAAATGCTCAGTCATAATATCGTGAGGCTTTACTATCTATTGTCTATCAAATAAGCATGTTCCGCTGCTGCTTCATCGACAGGCTACCACCGCACGATGGACGCGGAGTTGCAGGAGCACGAAAGGTCGGTCCTCGTCCCCAGCGCCCACCGGCGCCGCCACTGGCGGGACCCCGATGGGGCTCTGCACGCCACCGATCCACGCCACCGCCAGTCACTGGGCTCTCTGGGCGCTGGCAATGTAACAAGCACCACGCGCGGTGGTAAGAACACCGCACCGCACCTGGACGCCTGCGACGACTTCTACGAGTTCGTCTGTGGCACGGGCGGCTTGGACCGGGAAGGAGAACTGCTCAAGGAAGTCGAGGACACCCCGATGGCCATACATTCAACCAGGCAAGTTCTTGAGCCGCGCCAAACTAACCCGGCAAATTACGTCCCTACGCTGCGCCGCAGCACTGCACAGATATAGAGCAGCATAGTAGTAATGTAATATTGCGCAGAAGCAGTTTAATATATGCCCGTAGCATTTTCTTCTAGCCGCCACCTTGTTCATTGCGATACCAATTTTAAAATATCCAATGTCAATATCTGTTTTTGGAGTAGCTGTGAGACTTCGTATAAAGTTCCTAATCGATGAGATTCCCTTGGGTGTCATATGATTTATATGCAAGTAAAAAATTGCGAGCGCCACCAATCATCATGGTTAATGGGGAGAGCAAACGCGTCGACCGTCTTTCGTGGTGCGAAAGGTAGATGAAAAGGAGAAGGCAGCTCCCGGAGGTGTAGCTGCGCCGCTTCGACAGCCGATGCTCACTTCGCCGGACGTGGTCACGCGCACTATCTCTACAGGGATCGGCACATGGCTTGCACCATAGTACTACTTGCTGTGTTCCGCAGCGCTTGCACTGAAGGCATGATCTGCATGAAAATCACTTAATTCAGTACCGTGACCTATATTTTTTTTAAATGCCAGCGTTTTGATCAGCTATGAAACATTGAGTGTTAAAGAAGTCAGCTGTACGGGTCAGCTGCATCCATAGCTTCATATAACCTCACAAACCAACTCGAGGCTTGGCAATTGCGGTGCGACTGTCACTGTTTTGAAGACTGCTTATAGCTAAAATTACTCAAGCTTACTATCTCATACTTATCCTTTAGCTTGCGCTGTACATTACCATAATCTAACAATCTTAATAGCGGTGGGTCTCGGGTATATTACGAGAGCAGCTGCAGTTCAATACAACTTGAGAAGGCAGGGGAGCTTATTCCTTCCCCCACCACTTAACCAAAGTCTAGCAGCTAAAGATGTAAGCCTTTAAAACAGCAGTCTCACTCACAATCTCGGACATGGTCTCCGACAGTGAAGCCGCCGCCCGCCCGGTTCACGAGTCAACACTAAAATGCGGGCTCACTGTTATAGGTTTGTATTATTCCGTAGTTCCAGGCTGTTTTTCCTTTCCAGGATGATCTTCCATTGGCATACTAAATTTATCAACATAATGACCATAATTGCACTGTATTATTTGATGGAGGACTGCAAGGACTCTGCATTTTCTCACTTGTTTGAATGCTTGCGGATGTTTAAGAAAATGGAATTCTCCAAATTCAACACTCATTGCGCAGGGTACTAACTTTGTATTCTTCAGTTCTGAGACTACACCACTCAATCAAGTCCACTTATGCAGGGATCCTAACCTGAGCGCAAGCAGTGGGCTGTGGTCACCAAATTCAGTCAAGCAAGGACAGCAGGGGAAAGGGAGGGGACGTAGTTTGTACAGAATGTCAGCTAACGTTGCCATTTCACAGGTGGCCTTTCCTGTGTCGTGTATATAGATAATTTCAGAAGGGTATTTGCCTTTGTGACCCAAAAACATCAATGCTGATCTTTAGAATAACTCTAGTGTAGACACCGATGCTGGAATGTTGTTCTCTCATGGTTACATTTCAAGCTATGGTGACCACAGTGATACAGTGGTACCCCACAAAGGAAGATTGCATGAGACCAGTCATTCGTTGAAGGCAGTGAAAAAAAGTAGCTACGAAACGCATGCAGGGCGAAAATGGCTTTTTGTTTCCTGCGGCGTGGCGCAATCGGTCCGCGGGCGTGTGTTTGAGACCCTTTCACTTAGGGCTGCCGTAATCAAGATTCAGGTATACAAGCAGCATTTTGTACAGAATCAACAGTTGACCAGAGAAATTTTCTGAAAAGTTGGGAGAAAAAATATTGTAACAAATACGTTTTGAGGTGTTTTCAGTTATCAAGAGGTGTCCGCAAGTATTCGATTCAGTCCAGTCTTCGAAATCAACCAACAACAAATTCTCTTCTTCACAGGTCACAGAAACGATCCTAAACAACCTCCAAGACACATTCCGCGCGTACCGTGCCGCGGACCCTTACAAGAACTTTCCAAGCATGTTCATCAATCAGGCAGCCAATTTTCTGCCTAACTGCACGGCCGTGTACAGCCGCAACGGCATGGGCTGGGATCCTTTCGAGGACGTCCTAGAAGATATCGGCCTGGGTCGCTGGCCAACGCACCTGCCCGACAACGTGCGCAGCCTTCCGGCACTCGTAGGCAAGGTGGACGCCGCCCTTGGCGTTTTTCCGCTGGTCGACGTGACCGTCAGAAATGAGTACGAATCCAAATACGCCGTGCATCTCGACGTCCCTGTGACCATACTCAAGAGGAGCCAGACGTGGTACACGTCTTCGAACATCACGGAGTACGCTGCCAGTATAGCCCAAGCCCTCATCCAGATGGGCTCCGTGAGGTCATCAGCTGAGGTTCAGGCCACCGAAATAGTAAGGTTAGAAGTTCAGCTCGAGGAGGCTGTCAGCACGCGGCGGTTCGAGCCACCACCCTTCAGGACGAGGACGCTGGACAAACTGCCACATGGCCGCGCCTGGGAGTGGAAAGCGTACTTCACCGCGCTGCTCAGCAACTTTCCGGCCGACGAAGAGGAGTTCGTGAGCGTCGAAGTTCTGGCCCTGCAGTACCTAGAAGAGCTGGCCAAGCTTCTTGACGGCACGAACACCTCTAGCATCGTTTTCTACGTTGGCTACCGGGTGATGGTTCATCTGTCTGCCTGTGCTTCCAGACATACTGGACCATTTCACACCACTAAGCTTCGATGGGGTGGTGCCTAGCGCCAACATTGAGGCTGCAGGCTTGTTCCAGGCTCCTAGAGCTGGTCTACCCACAGGGCACACGCACTTTCCTCCGCATGTCCCTGGGACTTCCGGAGAGCACCCTGCGTTACGACACACGCTATGACACCGAGGTCCTGGAGATCTATGGCGACCTCAACCGACAACTGCAGATGATCGCCAGGCGCACCCCGTGGTACGACCCGGTCGAGCGAAGTCGTTGCCATCGAGAAGCTCAAGGCCGTCCAGTTCACCTTCTTCGGCACGTCCCAGAACTTGACGCCGATCGCCGAGTACTACAACCTGAACGTGCCGGTGTTTCGCGGGACGCGGCTGCTCGAGGGCCTGTACAACATGCTCATCAACAGTCGCCGCACCTACTACAAGCCGCAGAGGCACTCCCGGGACTGGGACAACCGTTTCCATGCGTCCAGCCTGGCACTCGGCTACGAGTATGTGCACGGGCGCAACGCGCTCTTCTACCCGTACTCCAATGTGGCCGCGCTCAACCTAACCTCCTCGGGCAAGTTGCGCGTGCTGGACATTCCCATGCTGGGCGCGAACATGCTGCGTGGGCTGATGGGTGCCATCGACGAGCGCGGCTCACACATCGACCACAAGGGACGTGTGCGAAGCTGGTGGAGCCACGAGACGGTGGCCAAGTACCACGTCATCCGTGACTGCTTCTGGGTCCAGTATAAGCAGGCACTGGAGGAAATCCTTAGAGACGACGTGGACCTGATCCGCACCATAGAGGACGACATCGCAGATAATGCTATCGTCTATCCACTTTTCAGGTGAGCCAGCTACACGTCTACATGTTCGCTCGAAGCGCACAGTCGCATAATATCATAAAGTATAGTTATTAACAACATATATTATATGAGACATTTGCGCGTGTAACGTGGTAGCAGGAAGCACCTGGTCGGAGTTGATAAGTGAAACACGGGAGAGGCTTTTGCCCTGCACTGGGCTAGACAGGCTGGTGATGATGAGGATGATGAATATCATTAAGATTACGAGATACGCCACACTGAAGGGCTCCGGATTCTGGTGTTCTTTAGCACTGACATAGCACAGCACAGGGGCCTCTAGTGTTCTGGCTCCTTCGAAATACGATGGTCACGGTCGGCGAACCCGCCGCTTTTGAAAGAGCCCCCTTTATTCTTGTTTCTCGATGGCCTTCAACTGCAGTTCGCGAGCAAGTACGCAATAAATTAGTGCCTCACTCAGAGCGCATAGCAGCTAGTGATTGATAGCAGTGACCAATGCGAGCGAGTGGATATCATGAGAGTGTTCATAAAATTAAGAAATGAGTGTGTTACGGGGCACGCGAGTTATATTTGAAATTAGAGAAATTGACGGGGCTTCAACTTTTGAGAATAGAAATGGACCTCGGACGAAGAGCTCGGAAAAGTGATGCCAACGATGGCAAATGACTCAGTTGGTACCTTATAAGTAGGCTCATTGACAATGAGCATAATGCAAGGGTCACACAGAGGTGTTTCTTGCCGTCACGGTACCTCACTGTGCAGAATAAGATGTTTCAGCTGAATCAATAGCAAACTATACCAGATGCATATGAGAAGGATTATCCAAATCAAAAGAGCTTACAATTGATGGCTACTTGAAGGATTTTCAAACTGAATTTTTGGTTTTCTTCTCCTTCGGAACAATGCACGTTCGTATTTCTAATGTTTGCGGTCGGCGTACATTACGGAATTGGACATACTTTGTTCCGAAGAGTCGTGTTTAGTCTGAAGATTACCAACGTGGACGTGATTTGTCATCTGAAATGCCTTGGACACAGCAGAAAAGGACGCAGGAAAAGACGACTAACGCCCTTTCTACCAAAGTATTTCATTTCTAATTTATTGATATGTGGGGTTTAACGTCCCAAAACCACCAGATGATTATGAGAGACGTCGTAGTGGAGGGCTCCAGAAATTTAGACCACCTGGGGTTCTTTAACGTGCACCCCGAATCTGAGCACACGGGCCTACAACATTTCCGCCTCCATCGGAAATGCAGCCGCCGCAGCCGGGATTCGATCCCGCGACCTGCGGGTCAGCAGCCGAGTACATTAGCCACTAGACCACCACGGTAGGGCGTGTTTCGTTTCTAGTTGTGTACATTTTGAGAGTCTGGCGGCTGTACGAAAACTATGTTCATGAGACACGTCTCCTCAAGCCGTTCAAAAGGACGCTGGAGAGCAAAAATATTTTTCGCGTATTGGTAAAGTGCAATTTCCCAATCCTGAAAAAAAAACTATTACCGCGATACAGCGCTTGATTAGCGACCAAACGGGACAAACAAAAGTACAGTTAAGGACGCCACCTTGATACTCCCCACACCAAACACCGTTATGCCATTTTGAAGGCGTCTACTGGGCTCAACATTCATTCCAATTGATAAATATCAGTTATAATCGGTGATAACCTAAGAACAAATGTAAGCTCCGCCCACAGTGGTCCCTGTGCCATCTAGACTGACTTTCCATAAATTTCTCACAGAACTGCAATAAGCTACTTACGTGACGTCTGGCAGATTTGCATACTTCATTCATATCACTTGGCCATACATACTAGTGTTCATTTCAGTAGTTTTCGTTCGAAAAATTTCAATTCTCGACAAATTTTATCAACAGTTCTTACTGCACTTCTCTGCCGAACAAAGAATGACGATGCTTTAACCTAAATTATTTGCCGAACAACAAAGAATGACAATGCTTTAACTTAAATTATGTGTAGCATTTGCATTACCAGCAAAAACGTGCTTATGGTTTGAACGTAAATCGCCAATCATTTCTCTCTTGCACAGATTAACGACAAACGCGCTGCAGCAGTACTGCAAGTGGAGCGTGGATTTATTCTTAGGTGGTAACCGACTACACATTGTAATTTGTAGGGGCCGTGCAGCTACAAAATTTCAGAAAGCGTTCGCGAAAATGGGAGAAATAAGTTTTCAATATTTTTTTGTGTGAAACGGGAGATCGTAGTGCAAAGCTAAAAAAAAAATGAAACTTCAACTTTGGTTTTCTCGGCCAATAGTGAACTAACGATAGTGAAACATATTGCTTTAGAGTCCTCAGAATTAAGTCCATAGATTTAAACCAAGTGATTGCTTCCCTTTAGTGTCCTCTTGAGGTTGCGCACTCGATCGTACGTAACGTGTCTCTGCAGGTACTACATCCGGGAGGCCAAGCGCACGTTGGCCGTGGGCTCGGGGCTGATGCTGCGCAGGCTGTTCTTTGTGCAGTTCGCGCGCGCCCACTGCTACCGCAGCAATGACACGCGCTACGAGCGGCGCCTGGCGTTCTTCGGTGAAACGCCGCCGCGACTGCGCGTCAACCTGCCCCTGGCCAACTTCAAGCCCTTCACGGAGGCCTACGGCTGCCAGGAAGGGGACGCCATGTTCCCACGCAAGGGGCGCTGTTCCCTCTGGTTCACCGAGGACGAGAGATAAAGGAGACTGCGCCTCTGTCGACTGCGGCGAAGGCCGATTTTGTCGATTTAAAGCGAATGAATATTTTGAAATCGAATAATGATAGTGAAAGTAAAAGCTTTCAAAGCGTATATACGAGTGAGCTACTCTCCAAGAACATCGAGGGACGCTCAATCACGCATAGCGTATAACGCATCCGCTTAGCTTTTTTTTTTCTTTTTTTGTGTCGCATTAACACGTTCTGTACATCAAAAAACTACAATATTGCACTTTTATCTCTATTGAAAAAAAAACGACGTTAAAGAACCCCAGGTGGTCAAAATTTCCGGAGCCCTCCACTACGGCGTCTCTCATAATCAAATAGTGGTTTTGGGACGTTAAACCCCACAAAATCAATCAAATCAAAATTGAAAAAAACGTCCACCATAGGAATGGTGGCTCCACCAACCACCATTTTGGTGGATTATGGCGGCAGAAATGTTGGTGGCACATGTATGGTGGCGTACGGTGGAGCGGATGGTCGATGGCGTGCTCCAGTCGGCATTGGTGGAGCGCGAAGCATCGTCAGAACCACCATGATGAGCTGCCACTAAAGAAATAATAAAAATTATTGTGTAAAAAAGAATGTAGCAAGCACCCGTACAAAAAAAAAGCTGCACCAGCGTGGGATCGAACCTGCCACCTCCGAATTACGAACTGAGCACACTAACCACTGCGCCACGACGACTTTTTGCTTCGTTTATTGCACTGTGCCACGCCAACAGATGGCGTTATGGCTGGTAAAGTAGTAGTGAACTCACAAAGTCACTGTTTAACTCGAGTTCTGTTTATCGTTTACTCGGGAGGGACGGGATCTGCACCTGCTACTAAACTTTGCACATTTGATAAACACGACCAACTGCTGCCTGTAACGATTGCCACTGCGATAATGGCAATGGCACTATGTTTTTGTTACAATTTACAACTGCAAGGAAAAAAAAAACAAGTCAGTGGACTGAGGAGCAGGTAGAATTTATCGGCGGTTACTGGCAAGTTTATTATCCGTTTCTCGCCCCTTCCAAAGGGCGATATCAGTTCTGGCTTTATTACGCTGCTATGCTCATTCGATAGATACGCCCACATAATTGATTTTGATGTTTTTCGCGCAAGGCACACCGCCGTCGTGCCAGCGCACCGCTGTTGCTCTGTCGTTACGAACAGCTACATAACGGCTTGTCCAAAACAAATGCACTGCACCAGAAACATTATGCTATCATATTGGTTCAGTAAGCGTACGAATTGACGTGTCTAAGTTCTCGCATAAGAGCCAGCAAAATGCCGGCGAGTGCGACCGGCGGCTGTCGTTGAGGGGAGGCGTACCTTTCGTGGAAGTGCTGCAAGCGCGTCGCATCGATGTTTGTCGCTTCTTGCGCGGACACCGCACACTATAAAAAAGGCTTCATTTAGGTGAAATGATGCCGCAGCTGTGCTGTATTCTCACTTTTACTCGTCAAAATTGTGTATTCTGAAACCCAGAAGCGCCGATAACACTTATACGGGCTCGGTCGGTGTGCCTAACCTTTGGTGGAAATCATGGTGGTAGAACAGAAGGGTGAAAGTCAAATTCGCTGAGGCTCATCTCGACGCATGTCAAAAGTTGAAAGTTTATGCGTATTCGCACGCACTTTGTTAACTTAAAGGTGCGGCTCAAACAATAGAGTGTGCAAGAATTACCAGAGTTGCGTTTCTAGCGTGGCGACATCAAGTGACCGCGCTGTGTTCTGCTCTAACATTGAAAGGGGCAATTGCGAACTGGAGCCCATTTATTTGTCGACAACTGCGCGCCGATGTAAAACATTTATTGTCATGTTCACAGTGACAACTCCAGTCTTATAAACATACCAACAAAAAAAAACACATCGCGGATGTCAAACTGATGTAAGTACGTGCGTGAAATGTAAACATATTCACGGCCGCATATCTATGCTCCACAAAAATTGAAGCGTTCTCGACACCACAGGAATTAAAAAAAACATACTAAAAAGCGCAATGAGCAGCGTTGGTTTCTTTTGACCGCAAACATATATCTCTGCGCATTCAAGAATGAAACACTACAAATAAAGGATTTCACATACTGTTATGTGCTTTTCATCATACCACCGCCATCCACCAAGCTTCCATCGTGCCACCCTCATCCACCTTGATCACCAAGCCTTCCACCAAACACGTTTTGCCTCGTCACCATTAGCCGGCATTTTCCACGCCACCACTATTGGCTCGCCACCACCACCACCATCTGCCATCATTTTTTCCACTCTCGCCGTCATCAGCCATTATGCCCACTACAGTTTCCACCATATCCACTAATATTTCCACCATATCCACTATCCTTTCCACCATATCCACCAACAATTCAGCATCCATCAACCCAGGATATTTAATAGGGTATAATCTTCAAAAATTATGTACACTGTCGTATCATTGCCATTATTTCAATACGTGTAATGAAACTATTGCCAAGACCTCCCACGTATATTTTGGCCCCTGAAATGCCTGTGTCGTCTGTGTAGTAGACTGCGATTTAGACATATTGCAGGCAACGTAAGTCATACCTCATTGTCAGCCAGACTAGCACGTCTTTTTATTAATCGCTCACACCCAATCGCTCAATAAATTCGCCCACTCACTAATATCTCAAGAATTAGCAACTCAAACGAATAGTTCTGCGAATCACTTAAGGGAAATTTAGCCCTCGGTTGCGTCTTGATAGATCCGGCATCTGAGAATCCAAGCTACAAGTTTTCGCAAAAGCAATCAATACTGGTGATCAAGTTGTAGACTACATTTGAATATTTGCACAAGTATTCATGGCTTCGAAACCCCGCACAATATTTATTAAATATAAGTGCGCAATTAGATCACAATCATCATCACCATTGACATTGCCATCAGTTAAGCTCCGATAAATCCAGTGGAACCATGGGTTCAAGACGTGCGACCTTTCGACAAGCGGACGCCCGCACTGAGTGAACAGGGCAAGTGTCATTTCCGACTACCACCTTTTCATCCTTGCGGCGTTGACTGATCACGGAGGCCGTGGTCTTTTCTCGAACACCAACACGGCCTTCCTATGCCGCCAACCAAGCAAGGCCCAAGAACTTGCATCCGCAAGCACTCTACCTTCAACAGGTGCAACTCGGTGTCATGAGAAAGCCCCATCAATTACATTCGTCGGCTTGTAAATCACGCGGGACAAGGAGCGAACATGCAGCCTAGGCTTCGTAGTGGAAAGAGTTTCCGAAGGCCCACTAGCTGGAGAGACGGAACGCGAGTCGCGGGACCTGCTCTTTCGCGAGTCGTCGAGTGTTTGGGAAACGCTGCGACGCCAACCCAAGGTGGGCCAGCGAAAGAGTCTGCTTTAAAATCGACAGTTTGTGCGCTCGCGTGATGAATGAGACGTTGTGTAAGTGGGACGATGCTGCAGTGATGGCAGATCAAGAACGGTCTGAAGGACGACGTCTCCTCCACCGCGTGGCCTGCGATTATCACTCGACGTGAATTCCTCGGAAGGCATGACGCCGAACGGATCTCCCACAGGAACGGCGCTTCCCCGGCCCGAGTAGCGTCCGCGTGTGCATGCGTGCGGTGGGCTATTATACTCCCCTCGAAACCGCATGCAGTCGTGCGTCCGCCCGCTCTGTAGCTCGTATAATCGCGCCTCCTAGACCCGCATGACTGGCGAATTCGCCTTCCCCCTCTCGCTCTTACACGCGACCTGAAAAATAAAAAGTACGGCATTATCCGTGGCTTACGCTTCGTAAGGTATACATCGCGCGAGTACGCAACACCTTTTAACTTTGTGTGGAAGGACGGAAAGTGTGGTTGTTTGCAAAGTCCTTGTACGGAATGAAACGCACTGTCACGACCCGCGGGAAGTGTAATGCTATGGGCGTGGGTGCGGTGGAACTACCCAAACAAACGGAAAACCGGTCCCGAAATTTGCGTGTAGGTCACGCAAGTTACAGGCCCATAAGATAACCGGGTGTTTTCCGTTAAGCTTTCCGTATTAGAGCTAAGACACAACCTGGTGACTGTGATTGCTGAACAAGCAGTATAAGAGGTGGTAATCTACATTTGTCCGAATGGTGTTAGTGAGTTCAAGACCTACCATGCATACGTGGGTTCAAAAATCATCCTGCAATACCGCTTCTTTCTTTTGGGCCCTCGTCTTTTTTTACTTCTTTTTTATCTTCTGTCTGCTACATAACTGACCTGTGGGTGTCTCTTGTATAAATTATAATATAATGTTTCCTTTATTCAGAAGAAGTAATGCGTGCTGTACGGCGTGTTCTCCCATGTACATGAAATGCAGTCTCGAAGCGCCTTTGACGTTATTCGGTAATGCGAGGCGATTAGAAACACTTGCTTCGAGAAATTATTGAGTTGTTTATTAAGCCATGAATTGTGTAAATATTAGCGCATATCTTATGTCGGAGAAGCATTAGCGAATATTGACGTGATCAGCAGTAAGCTGCGTGCAGCTCGCATTCGTCCTTGTATCGACGGTGCGGTGGTGCCTATGGAAGATTCGGCAATTCACGATTATGTCGAAATGTTGGCCAGCATTCCGGAATAGTCGTGAATGGTTCGCACATCCTTAAGAGCCGAATACTCCCCAATTCACATCGGAATATTCGACAATGTTTAGACTATCACATAACACCGAGAGTAGGGTCGGATGTGGGTGCATACGGCAGGTGCCATGTTGCGTGCCAGCGATGCCTCAGTATGCTTCCTAGTGCGCATGCGAGAAAACGAGTGTAGCACGCACGCTCCAATGATAAAAAGCTGCAGAGTGCTGGACTTGGAACGCGAGGGAACGCTATAGAAGCCCGCGATCTTTTGAGTTGTCGAACAGCTGGTACCCCACGCACGGCATGGGATAGGGCTTTCAGCAGCACACGCGACGCGTGATCCGGGCGCCGGTAGGTCACTTGTTCCCGAGAATCTCGGCTGGAAAAGAGGCATGAACCCCGCCGTCG